CAAAATATAATTAATTGGCTAAAATGAAATTAAATCTAAACTATTTAACTTTAGTCCCTCAACTTTTAAAATATATATTATAGCATATATAACAAATATATTTTATTCTATAAAATTTTTGGGACGTTACACTTTTACATAATCAACTATAGAGTATCACGTACCTTTCATGTGCTTCTTACTAGTATAATAAAAACAGATAATGAAAACTTTAGTGGTTGAACTCAAGCACTTACCAACTATATCAGCATATTAGTTCTCTTCAATAGCCTGGGCCCACTCCATGTATGTCAGCAATATGTAAAATCTTCGACCACTCAGAATCAGGGCCTCTTTCTTGCCTGCACCTCTCCTCAAACAATGGACAGTCTCTAACAATTAAACATTCTAGCTTGGTGAGGCGTTGCATATGCCTAAGCTTTTTTAAGTCATACAGTTCTAATGACCGAAGAGATGGCAGACCTCCCAACCACTCTGGCAATGCTTCAATTCCAAAACCTTTTAATTCTAAGATTTTGAGCGAAGTGAGACGCTGAAGCTGGTATGGCAATGAGTCCCAATGTTCCCAACCATATAAATACAAATACGAGAGAGATTTGGATTGTTGAATGCCGTCGAGAGCAGCTTGGAATGAATTGAAATTAATTGATTCTGATAATCCACCAATGGCCAATTCTGTTAAGTTGCTAAGATGGCCAATTCCCTTGGGCAAACTTCTCAATTCAGGACAATTGTATACATGTAACTTTGAGATACAAGGCAATTCCCCCAAATCTATTGGAAAAGAAACGAGTTTGTCGCATCCAGTCACGTATAGATACTCCAGACACCTATTGGACTCAATCATTTCACTTGGTAAGCTACTCAGCTCAGAGCAATTACTAATTCCCAACCATCGAAGAGAAGGGGGACCTTTTTGTCCACCTTGATATGAAATTGATTGCAGACTTAGACATTCAATTATTCTCAAAGACTCAAGAGACCGGAAGGTGTGTAGATCATCAGGTAATTCTCTCAGTTTGTCACAACCTCCAATAATCAACTCTCGAAGATATTTCTGGCA